TTGGGCATAAGCCCGCATGGTCTGACTTTTGGTATCACCCAAAATGCCTCAACAATCAATAGAGATGGTGTCCCTCACTTGTATACCTATAACTTTCCCCTTATCTATCTAATGTGAGACACATTTCTAATTGTTATGATATTGTCCACTTTGGGCATAAGATCTCATGGTTTGACTTTTGGTATCACCCAAAATGCCTCAAAAATTAATAGAGACGATGTCCCTCGCTTGTATACCCATAACCTTCCCTTCATCTTGCTATTGTGAGACACATCTCTAATTTGTATGATATTGTCCACTTTGGGCATAAGCCCTCATGGTTTGACTTTTGGTATCACCCAGAAATCCTCAAAACTTTAGAGATGATGTCCCTCACTTGTGTATCTAAATTAGGAACAAACCTCTTATACCACTCGTTATTGACATGGAACCACTCTCCACTCATCTAATTGGTATGATATTGTCCACTTTAGGCATAATCCCTCATGGTTTGACTTTTGGTATCACCCAAAATGACTCAAATCAATAGAGATGTTGTCCCTTTATACCAATAACCTTCCCCTGAGACTTCCCACTTTGTTCGACACCTGAGGATTCTACTCACATAGCTAAGTTAGGAACAAAGTTATGATACCACTTGTTTGGGACAAGGAACCACCCTCACATCTCTAATTGGTTGTGATATGTCCACTTATGACATAAGCTCTCATGGTTTGACTTTTGGTATCACCCAAAAGACCTCAAATCAATAGAGATGTTGTCCCTCACTAGTATACCCGTAACCTTCCTCTTATCTAGCTAATGTGAGACACGTCTCTAATTGGAATGATATTGTCCACTTCGGACATAAGCTCTCATGGTCTCACTTTTGGTATCACCCAAAAGACTTCAAATCAATAGAGACGCCGTCCCTCACTTATATACCCGTGACCTTCCCCTTATCTAGGCAATGTGGAATTTTGGTCTCATTCCCAACAATCTTCTCTCAAACAAAGTACCGCCAAGTCTCCCATAAATTAATCATCCACATGATCCGGCCTGTTCTATAGGCCAACCCTAGATACCTAAGTCTCGTCAGTTTGTTCGAAACTAGGATTCTACCCACAATGCACTCACGATGTGATGAAAACAAAGAAGAACATTTGCATCGAGAAACAAAAAACGAACAAAGTAAAGCAATAAAAAAACTATATAAATAACAAAATAATAATAATAATAATAATAATAATAATAATAATAATAATAACAACAAATACAAGTAGACTTGATAAACCCGACCAATATTTATAATAATAATAATAATAACAACAACAACAACAAATACAATTAGACTTGATAAACCCGGCCGATATTTATAATAATAATAATAATAAATAAATAAATGTCTCCCAGAACTTGAAATTTAACATACTTAGTCATCTTGCAACAAGACTGTTAACTTCTATTTAAGTTAAGGTTTCATTTATAAACTTATTGAAATCAAACAAACAGAATTCAATTAATTAAATACGTGCTTACAAAACAGATTGTATTATCATAACGTACCTTGTAATRTCAGTGTATCATAATGTACCTTGTTTTAAATTGAGAATGACAGTGTCGAACTGCAACACCACAAGGAATGTAGGCATCTCGATCCTAATATCATTTTGCAATTGTTCTCATTCGACATAGTTCTTTCAGCAAATTTTCGAACAATAAAGTCTTTAAGAAGAGTTCCCTTGACCACTCCAAACCTGCAGGAAGGACCACATGAAATAATTGAAGTTGAGAGTAAATTGGTTGTATCAAATCATAAGCACACGGAACAATGATTTCCTTGAAATGAAAAGCAATCACCAAAAATAAAGGGAAGAAAGCAAGATGTTCACCTTTTCGTTGTTGTGCTGGATATAACACCAATCCTTGAAGCATCAMGAAATTGAGAGGTAACATGTTGCAAGCTCGTATCAAGAACAATTTGGTACACCCTCRACTCACCAAATCAAGCTAAAAAAGAATGATATATTGTAAAAATTGCGGGCGAGACTGCAAAGACAATCATATWATTAATTAATCATTTGAAACCTGAAATATTCAAAAGACCTGTGTTTCAAGAGCCTACACATTAACAGAATCTGAATTCATTGTCAACCAATAATTGAAAAGGAAATTAAAGAATTAGMAAGGAGAAACTCACCATGCAAGGAGCAACCTCAAAAAATTCGGCATRTTTGTCACAAATTTTGTCAAACTAAAGAATTAACAGGTTCCTCCTCTTGCTGGTGTGAACATCCAGATAAATGTGATATCCTTCCTTTTGACATAAATTCTACCATCATACAACAAACAAAAATGGGTAAAATCACTCTTGGGATAAAGCAAATGTTAAACAAAAAATGATGTATCGTTTTGAAAGCAGGTATTTAGCAAAAAAATGTAATTAGTAGGAACAATAATAATAATCAATAAATTATTTAATTTTCCTCTCTAATTTACTATAAAAAGAGACAAAAGAACTCTAGGTTACAGTCTTGCAACTCCTTAACYAYGAGATTWWTTAAAAATCTTATATTTTAATCAAAACCTTCATAAACTAAATGGAATATTAGGACATGSCCGAACAAATTAGACAGAGAAACTACAAACTACAGCCACATAAATGAACCGTGCATGCATGTGATGCTGGATRGAAACCATACGATAAGAAACCATGCATGTGGTACAACAATTGTACTAAAACAAACCATATCATAGAAACCAACAAATTACAGATACCTCAATACAAATTCAAAGACATGAAAAAGGAGAACAGAGATTACTATAAGCAAACACACATTTTCCGGTCTTGGTCAAGTAATTTTGCGATTTCCAGCAAAAMAGCCGCATTGTTAGTATTCTTGGCAGGGAAGAATTATACTAAAACATTCATCGGTACCTTCGGAATGTGAACCAATAAAAACCAAAGAATCTAAAAACGAAAAATGAAATACATTTTACCTGTGATGAACCTCATGTTGCAAGGCAGAAGAACCACAGTGGCGTCGGAATATCCGTCGGACCTCGTTGTATTACGCGGTTTTATCATCAGAAACCCTAAAGATCCTAGAGAGAGAATACTGGACTTCGGAGGATGAAACGGAGAAGAGAACCGAGAATCAGAGAAAACAAAGCCACTGAAAAATGCGGAAAAAGCGTCATGCAGAAACCCTAAAAACCAGTAGCAAAGAGATTTTTTGGTTTGCGGATTCGCTGATGGTTTTGAACGACGATTGCCAAATGAACTTTTTCTAACCATTGAAACGGATTAAGGGAAGATCATTTTTTTGGTTGATTCCATAAAATCAATCGCGAATCGAATGAAATCGCCATAGCAGATGGAAGAAAAGAACAGTAACGGAAAGGGAGAGAGCAGAGAGCGGGAAGCAGAGGGCGGGAAGGATTGGAACGTAATAGTTACCAGTAATGACAGTGCGAAGAGAGATTAAATAAAATAAAATTAATCCAATTTAATTATTTTGATAGGTCCGCTTCAGTCCAACATTAAATTAATCCAATTTAATTGTTTTGATAGGTCTGACCAAGTCCAACGGAAACTTTTCTGTTTCTCTTTCTACTTCACCCACGCGGTAAATTTTTCGGTTACCTAACATGTCCGTCAGTATGCTGTTAATTCTTATTCTTATTCAAGTACCAAAAAAAAATATTCTTATTCTTATTCTTTTTTTTTTCACTTTTACTCATTTCGTATTTCTGTTTAACATTATTTTAGTACGTTTAACAAATATTAATGATTACAAATTTAATAACAACATTAATCAAAAAACTATTAGTGAGGATGTTTTTTGAACGGATGATGATGTTATTAATTATAGGATGAAATTGCTTAAAGTGAAAATTATAGGAATAAAAATACTTAGCTAGTAGAGGTAGAAAAAATCTCTTACTAACCACACCTCTAGGTTTTTTTTAATGAGTACAAGAGAGAAATAAAAAAAAAAAAACAGAAAGAGAGAAAAATATATATGTTTTTTTAAAAGAAATATATAGCTATCAAATTTATTTATAGTGGTGGTATGCAAAATATCCCATCCATGTTCGTCTGCTTCAAGCAACTTCGCTCCACCGTAACTATTTATTTTAACCGTAACTATTTATTTTAACCATCTCTTCATTGCCTCTACAAATCTTGCTTGACCTGAAATCTATGGCAACATCTAGAGAACGCACATCCAGGTGGTAAAACAAAAACAATGGAAGCACTTTCATAATTGGTTTTTTACTTGAAACAGCGAACTTTCTCTTCTTTTTTTTTTCTTTTTTCCTTTTTTTACATCTAATTGAATGCAGTTACAATCCCTACAATCGCGTCGGTTAATTCCCCTATTTGCTCCCAAAAAAGAAAAAGTTAAACGAATGAACAACTTTTTCTCACGGAAGATTATCATTTTTCTTTGCCCTGCTCTCTCTTCACGGCTGCACAAATAATCAACCTGAAAGGAAACCAATCAATTCAAGTATCTCTTCTTTCAGCCTAATCCAGAGCTGGATCCAGTAACCGGCCTCATCATCGGGTGACTGAGAGGAGGCTGGGCATTGCTTGGGCCATTGAACATGTTGGCATTGGAGGAAGTTGTCCCAGACTGCTGCTGCTGAATCGCGGATAAGGGTAGCCTTTGCCCCAAATCGAACATTGACTGCCGGGGCATGTACGACATGTGGGGATGAAGTTGCTGGTTGTTGCCATACCCAGAAACGCCCGGCTGCGAAGGTTGAGGCGTGATCATACTCTGCCTACTGTTTGTGTTATTATTGTTTACCATGGAAGGGATAACGCCTGGTAAACTCGCAGGCACGGTAACTCCTCCAGCAGGTCCAAATTGGACACCTAACATTCGTGCTCGCTCGGCAACAAACCTCTGCCTTGTCCTCTCGACTTGTTCGCATTCCTTCATCAAGAAGGTTTCTACTTCTGCAAACTGCTTCAACTTCAACTCCAATCTTTTTAACTGGTGCATAAATTAAACAAAACAGAGAACATTAACTTCTCTTTGCAAATGAACTGCAAACAATTCATCTTTTCCAACAGATAGAAGATAGTTTTTTTTTTTCAAATTGGGAAATGTACTAGGTGACCATCTAAATAAATGTTTATTATTTGATTTTCTTTTCCTTCTAAAAAACTTATACGGCCTAAAATCGTGATCAGGCTACCAATAGAACGCATACATAAAATTCTGTTCACATGTGACATGACCGACATAAATCAGAAACCACTGTGATATGGAAAACAAATGGCCATCAATCTGTTATTCACGTTAACGTCAGAAGCAAAAGAAGTAATAACATAAATATTTTGGAGAAAATGGACAAATACAATGGCATGCACGTTCAAAAACTCTATGTGGATCATTTCAAGTCCCACGAGGCTTAAATGCATCATGATTTACCAATGTTTAACAGACAACAGGTAGTATAATTTTTTTTGAAAGAAGAAGCAAGTGTTAGTGTTAGTGTTAGTACGTAGTAGTTCAAGCAGAACATTAACTTTCTGAATAATTAAGAGGAAAGGGCACTAAGTTTCAACTATTTATACTTAGAACTACCATACCTGATGGTTTATGATGTTAGCAGACAACCGTTGGATTTCTCGTTCTTCATGGTCAGCAAACAATTTTGCCTTTGTTGCGGCAGCAGCAAGGCCTGCTTTTGCAGCAACTTTAACCTTTTCAGCAGATAATAGTGTTACCTCTGCCTCTGACTTATTCTCATCTGAATTTGACCACATATATTGAACAAACTTAAGAGTAATGCTTTCATCAAGAGAGAGTACAAGAATGAGGAAAAGTCAGTCTCAAACCAAACCTTTTTGCTTGACTGAATTTGGGAGTTCTCCATAGGAGCCACCGTCTCTGCCATGTGTGCTCTCCACATTCGGCCTTAATATTGGAAAAGAAAATTCAATCTTGAAATAAATCATAATTAAACAATATAACTCATGCAACTGTATTTATCATAATTAATGATGTCCGCAAGATGGACTTTGGGAAGTTGGAACCTCTTTCATCCTCTAAAATCTCCCCACGTATCTAATAATTAGCTTAGATGTCATTATGTGCTATTGGAAATCACTTTCCCTCAGTAATATATAAATTCATTTTTGTGTGTTGGGTGTGTTTTTTTTTAATCTTTTTGTGGGATACGCTACATCAAAATCTACCGATCGAGAGTAAGCAAAGTTATATTATATGCATTGAAACAAGGTTTCACACATAAAAAAGTTACTCGCAAGAACCCTTACAATTGCGATCAACTTCAGCATTATTCCCCTTACAGTCTTAACATCAGAGATAAGATCTCAAAAGAGTTCAAACCAATCAATGAGTCTTTCATCCCTTGCAATCAGGAAATTAGTCATTGAACGTTGGAAGGATAAAAATAAATATTTTAGATATACGTCAGAGTTCAGATATTCAATAAACTATTAAAATTTAAAAATTCAATGCCCTCGAAAATTTAACTATGATTGTGAGTTCGTCATTGATCCCTAATACCATAAATAAAACTAAAACAAAATAGATGATCACAATCAACTATGGCACTATGCACCTATTCTAAATTGACAGGATATTGTAATATTTTGCCGTTACTGTTTAAAATTAATATCATTTATCGAAGAAGAGTGGTTAAAAGTAGAAAATAAGTGATACATGTAAAACCAGAAAGAAAATGAAATTTACCTATTAGCATTTCCAGAACCTTCAGTTTGAAATATGCTCCCAGAAGCAGCTACACTGTCCTCAGATAGTGCAGCTAAGGATGCATGAGCACATGATGCAGCAACTCTTGGTCCAATAGCAGATGCGAGAAAAGCAACCTTGTAAATGTCCAAAAGTTAAATCAGTTGCAACCCTGTTTACTGAATATAATACTCTTTTTAAAACTATGGCTCTATATATCTAAGTAGAACCCCATAATCAGAGCTCTTTCGGTCCAACATAAATTGATATTGGATTGGAAATGAAGAGTCCAATATCTCAAAGAAAAGTGACTTCTTAGCATAATCAAAGGTAGAAATTGGAGATAAAATAGCTTGAAATATTGCCAATGCTTTCAAGGGCAAGGCACACTAAGACAAACCATCAATGGTAGAAAACAGCACCAAGTCAAGATATTACCTAATGTTGACTGGACTCAACTGTAAAATTATTGTAGATTTTGCATTTTTGTTAAAGGTAAGATAGAGAAAGGAGCTCCTGGATCCTAACATTGTCCTTCAATTTTTTCCTTCGTTTCTTTATAATAATAATAGTGAGAGTCAAAAACCAATTCAAGTGCACCTCAACTAATCTTCTAGACAACCACCTAACTCTACAATTCTGTATTGAATAGGATATTTTAATATCCGTGACCAGCATACTTTGGACAATGACATCATAGAATGTGGACTTACCCACTTACCAATTTGAAACAAAGCCAACCCATGGTGGTTGCATAGCATTCTCTCTGTATTGTGCATTCTTATTCCTATCACACAAGCTACCAATACTAATACACTCCAGGTCTCAAACAGATTCAAACGGGTCAACCTCCTCCCTGGCTCTCTTCGCTGCCTATTTGTCTCAAACTTCTTCGCTTTTACTCATTATTCCAAACCATCAACCAGGTAATCATTTTTTCAATTCTAATTACTTGTTCCCATAATAACTCACTGGCACAACCAATGAAAATAAGTAGATAACAGAGAATTTTACTTTAGTGGATAAATCTATGATAAAGATACAATCAGATACTAGATGCTCAAACGTTCAGAAAAATATATGAAACATGATATTTTTGCATTGTTTCTTTAATTTTTAAAATTGTTTGTTTTCAAGGACATTGGAATATTATTCCAAAAGTAATTCAATTCCTCGATTTTACTTGATGAACTAGAAGACATGTAAAGCATAAAATAAATGGACACATACCAACGCCATGACTGGGTTCCCAGAATTAGCAAAAGGGAGCCTATCATACATCTCTTTATCTTGAGAGGAAGATCCTAGAGAAATAAACAAATATTTAGAAAGAAAATGTAAAAAATCCATCATTCCTAGAGTAACCATTAGTTAAATATTCAAAAGTACCTGCTACGTTTCCATTCATGTTTGAATGTGACTTCTCATTATCTTCCCCATGAGAAGAATTGGATGAGAGAGAAACGCCCGGCACATCAACATTTTCTAATAGGCCATCCTCCACTGATAGACGCAGAAAATGTATAATGCATTGAGCTTTAGACTTGGACCCAACATGTTCTGTAATTTCATTCCAATTCTCATTATACAATTCTATCGCCTCTAAAAGCAATAGAGTTTCTTGATCAGTCCAATTTTCACTATCTAGTTCACCATAATCTTTTGACATGTCCATCCTCAGAAAATCAATGCTTGAATGACCAGCAACATATTTGCCTTCATGGAAGCAGTCGGAGCAAAGTAAGACATCAACCTGTTGCAATGATACCAATAAGTCATCAAAGAACAAAGATCCAAATGGATTTCAAGAGCTTTCTAAAAGTTATGCCTCAGAAGCAATTATCCTGCATGGCAGTGGCTCACTATCAACAGTTAAAAGAGAGGATTCTTACTGGGTCCAAACTTCAATGTTTGGCCTCACAGCATGCAAACACACCTTTTCCAAGATTCTAAAACAGAAACCCTCTTTCTTCACTTCGTCTCATTAAGGTTCCTTCTAAAATGAAAATTTATCATTTGATTTCCCCAGGAAACACTTAAATTACAGAAGTGTTGTCTGCAATCAAGCAGAATATAAACCCAAGGAAAGCTAAATGCCAACAACGATTGATTGGTCCAACAACCCTCCCAAAAAAATATGGTTCTAACCCAATTTCCAACCTTAAAAAATACAAATGGTAGGAGTAAAGATTCCACTTTGAAATGAAAGTTCAAGAACTTCAATTGCTAATCCTCATAACCTCTTTTGTACACCATCTATTACACTGAATCCTGTATTTCCCAGCGATGAAGTAGTCTAAAAGTGATTTAGGTTGGAAGAAACATGCACCAAAAAGCTACATGCTAGATCAAAAATTTATAAATATTTAAATATGAAAGAAAAATAGTTGACAAAATCTTCAACGGGATTGAAAGAAACAACCACAAAAATACCATTGTGGATATGCTTGAGGAAAAAACTGCCTCGTCATACCTCCTCTCCTTTTCTCCCTCTGGAAAATTGAAAGGTCAATACCCCACGGTCTTTATAATTTACCTTTCAGGAGCCACGTGGGTTTAATAATTTAAAATACTGTCATTTTGTTTCTCTCAACAGGAAAAGGCTTTGAGTACAATGGCCATGTCACATAAACACCAGTATCGCAGCATTGCTTTCATATGATATCTCATTGAATTTGTTATCTCTAACTGTATTTATCTTTGCCATAACAGTCATCATTCTTCAGGCATATATAAGATTCATAAGCAGCGGTACTCTGAGTCAAAAGAAACAATGAAGTACAATATGGTGATAGAAAACTAACCTCCTTCTGTGACTGGTAGTATGCAATGGGAACAGACTGAGAACAACAGCTACAATGATTTTCAGCTAGACGCTCTCGAATTCTGTTGTCCAAATCAGATAGGCCATCATTTTTATCATGGCATGAAAGTGCAGAATAGACATCAGCTGCCTTGAGCCTACATTTTGGTTTGTCAAATTTGATTAAGCTATCAATCGGCTTCAAAGCAGCTGATGGCACGTGAATCTCACCATTCATATCTTCTCTCAAGTATGAATTGCTATTCCATGGTTCACAACTAGGTGTTGGAGCACAATAATTAATAATACCCCAATGATCAAGAAATCGAACAATTCGAGTTAAATCTTCATTGCTGACACCATCAACCAATCCCTGGCAATCTGAAACTGTGACCCTTTTCTCAGGATTCTCCATGTATTTGGCAACAACAAAATTCCTAATTTCCATATATTTCTCAGGAGTGCGGTCAGGCAATTTTCCAGAGAAAAAATGTGGAACAACTTGTCTCTCGAGTCGATGCACTGTGGCTGGTGAGAACCAATCTGTATCCAACAAATCAAAGGTCATATAATATAAATCCGTTGCAG